TTTATGCATCCCTGTCGGGCTGCACGGTCAGGCTATACATGATATATACAGGGGTGAAGAGAACACGCCTATCCTCAGACAGGGCACCATTTTTGTGGGGGATATTTCTGTCCCCTGAGAGGCACTGGTCATTTACAGAGGATAGTTACATTTCACAATGAATGTAAAATTTAATAAAGTGAAATGTTTTAAGCCCCACAGAGCCCAATTTGTCAATACAAAATACAGACAGCACTACAACATATTTAATAAAACAACTTTATTGACTACAATGACAAACACCAAATTACCAATGAAAGGGAAACTAAACAAAATAAACTGGAATAGCTAAAACAGACAGGCAAAGACAAACACAAAATTGATTAACAAATGAATGAAGGAGATGGTATAAGGGGAACAAATTGACACAAAAAAATGTAATATGAAAGAACAGAGAAAACTTTATTAGTAGGAATTTGGATAGGGAGTTAACAGCTCTGAGTCACACTACAGGAGATTATAAAATGATTTTGCTGACCTCTTCCAGATTTTGAAAGAGGTCAAATAATTGGTGCTAGCTGGTGATGACATATGGTAAACAAGAAAATGCTGCATGAGGAAACAGCAGTCGTCCAAGCTCATGAAAATAGAAGGGCGCTCAACAAGGAACATCTTTCATGGCCTACATAATCACCACACGTAAACATCATTGAACCTTTACACACACACACACACACACACACACACACACACACACACACACACACACACAAACACAAACACATACTCCCTTCCTGACAGCTCCGTCTTATCATTTTGAGTAAAAATCCACACAGAGACCCACGATGAGGCGACAAGGATGGAGCATCCATCTCCACGGCGACAGACTGGGACAGCGGGCAGGGGAGCGCTGTGTCTCCCAGGGTGGACATTTATCTGCTCTTCCATTTCTCACCCTCCAAAAATGGCACAGGACAGTACAGCTCCAAGAGTTTGACTGAGTGGCCTGTTTTACCTGTCTGACCTGCTGGAATTGCGATTAGATCCCGAGACGGTGTGCTTTCAGCTCTGTCCTGGCCTTCCAGGCATCGGCAGCACTCTCCTACCTTTTAATCATTGAGTGCGACACTCACACACTTGTTCACTCGTTACAGCTCATTTAAATATGCATGATTGTTAGCATTTTCTATTATGGCACACAGAGCTCTTTAAGGTAATTATATTTTGTGTGCTTAGGGGAATGTTGAATAAAAAAGAGGCAGAAAAATGATGAATTTTCTACTAATGTGTTTTACCTCCCATCACCCTCATTGTTTTTTAATTTGATTTCTCTCATATTCTAAGTGGCCCAAAGAGAAGGATTAGATTTTTCAACGAGTGCATGCTTGGGCCTTTGCAACTAGTCAGTTAATGTTTTTGTACATTGGGTACAGACATTTAAATATTTCCTGTCAGCATTGTGCCTTAAAGGTACGAATACTCCCTTTGAGTCTAAAATTGCTTTGGGAAGGAGAAGGCACAGGTATACAATTTAGTCAAGTTAGCAATTCCAGAAAATGAATGAAAATGGAAAGGAATAGATTCCCCTGCATGTTTCAGTAAATAAAACTGTTTGTTATATTTTCTTGGGTTCATAAAATACATTATTGTCAGGGACCGTAGTCACTTTAGTGTAATATTAGTATGTTGCTCATAATTATGAGTGTTAGGTACAGTGTCATATATTTGTACTACATGTGTTCTCTATACACAATAAGTGGGTGTTCCCTGCTTATTATGGGTCTTGTTTTTCCCGTGCATTAAATGTATCATGCCCTTTTAGCCTTGTTATTCGCTCTGGATAAGAACCTCAGCCGAATAAATGAGTGATAATAACGACATTGATGTTATATCTATCCGCTGAGAGTGCCTTTGTCTTTGGGAGTTTGTGTCAGGTCATGGGAACCTCCCTCTCGGCCCCACTGTTGACTCACCAAAGCAGGTCTCAGCGCTGGGTCACCTGAGGACAGATCTCATCTCGAGCTTTGACATTCAGCAGAATGAGATCTGAAGGAATGGTAAGAGATTCTGAAAAGGGGTGCTGGGAAAGTGCAGAGAAGAAAAAGAGATGGAAAAAATGATATAATGAATGCAATCCTTAAAAATAACCCTTCGCAGAGTAAGTTATCGTGAGCTGCGGCATAAAAATCAGAGTGGATACAGAGCCCCCTCGATCATGTGTTCCCTCTCTGGATGAACCAAACATTCCCTGAGAGGTTTAAAAGCTGAAGCTGCATTTCAGTCTAAGGCTTCAGATTTGGTCAAAACAAATTTTAACTATTTGTATACAGTTAACTCCTATGTGCATACACATGGGTTCGATATCAATCATGTCATCAGCTGACAATGACCGGAAGGCCACAGCAGTGGAACAAGTGGTTTTTACTCCACTAGGGCTTGGGTGGGGCTCTCAGACACTCTGCAAATTGTTAGGCGCCTATAAGCTGCTCACAGATGACATCTGTGGAGCCACGCCAATCATCCAACTGGGCTTACTTCACTGTGACGCACTGTGTGGCCTGAGGTGTGAATAATGGCTGTTGGCTGTGTGTGAGTGTATCGAAGGATTGCCTTCGTCCTGCTTCAGCTCCTCTGTGAGAGAGGGAGAGGTTGTCATAGTGAGGAGAGCCTAATGTGCTATTGACGGTTCCAAAAAGGGTTGCACAAAGGGGGAAAAAGCATAACATTATGGGATGGATAGAGAAGCCCTGGATGAACTTCACATAGTAATGTAATTCGGGGGGGGAAAATCGTGTGAAACAAATCAGCTAATACATCATGCTGGCTGGGTTAATTAGATGCTATTATGTAAAGTAGTCATGTGCGAAAGGGATCATTACGATTCTGTCAGCCAGCAGCACCCTTCATTTTAATGTCTATGGTGCCTTCCTTTACCTTCTGCAGCATCACAGTTCCTCACCAAAGGTTACTGAGGCTCCTGAAGTTATCTGAGAAGTACCTAATGCTGGTTCTGTGCTCTTGAACTGACCTAGATTCTTTGTCTCCACCCTCCCTCTCCTTCTCTCTCAGCATCTCTCTGTGTCTTGCCCTCTCACTCCCTGAATCCTTCTTTTTCTTTCAATTTTGCTTTTGCTCTCTTACCCTCTTTTTATCTCTCCCCCTGTCTCTTCTTCCTGCTCCTTGTCTATTTTTTTTTCCTTTCTGTCTCACCGTCTTCCTTATGATGTCTTTCTCATCCTTTCTCATGTCTCAAGGGGCCCCAGGTGTTGAGTTAAATTTCTCCCATGGGCATCTTCAGGTCTTGAAGGGTCCTTTGGGAAAGCTGGAGTGAGCCCTGTCAGTACAAGAACTATATAGATGCAGAGAGGGGGATAAGAGCATGCAGTGAGAAGGCACAAAGCACAGAGAAGGATCAGAGCATGCAGAGAGGGATCAGAGCAGAGAGAGCGATCACGGCATGCAGACTGAGGGACCAGAATATGCAGATACTGCTCTGAGCAGATAGCGGGATCAGAGCATGCAGATAGAGAAATCAGAGCAGAGAGAGGGCTAACAGCATGCAGGGAGAGAGCTCAGAGCATGTAGAGAGAAGAATCAGAGCATGTAGAGAGAGGGAGAGCCCTTGGCATTTAGGATCTCCCAGCAGACCTTTATGAGGCTCTCTGGATGATGCAGGAGGAGAACTCACTGGAGAAGCTGAGCAAGAGTGTGACTGAAGGGACATAACCTCAGTCGTGACAGAGCTTTTCTTCTTTAATTCTCCTTGCAAGGACAATCTCAAAAGATGAAAGATTGGTGGCTGGTTGCCCTGCTATGAATAAACTATAAGAACCCCCCAAAAATTTCAGTTATGTGGGTGAGTGGTGCACTCACAACAGTCTGATACTGACTACTGATAGTGATACTGATACTGATACTGATAGTGATACTGTTACTGATACTGAATACCAGTATCTGATGTTGATCTCTGACTTTGATGAAGTGCATTTTTCCTAAGTGACAGGCACATTGCTGTTGCTTGTTGGATTGTTGCAAATTGTGTTGCTTCCAACAAACTGAGTTTTTTGTGCTTAACTATTAATACATGGACTAATTAAATTTTAAACAAAAAATCCCTCTCTTGTGCTCTCTCTCTCTATCCTTTTTGTTCAGTGCTTTTTTCATTTCACCTCTAAATGGATAAAGTTTCAGAGGCAGAGATTCTTTGCCTCAAAAACAACTTTTTAAAGAGCTGATTAAATACAACTGCACTAATCCTGGAATTTCACAGGATTTTCCACAGAACTGTCCTTACATGAATACATTAAACACATGTTTTTGGGAATTTAAGAATAACAGAATAACAGACTCAGTTTGTGATTCAGAACATGGACTTTCCTGTTGGATTATGCACAGAGCAGTCATAAAAAAAAAAAAATCCATATGGCCGAAGTGTAAAATGGCTGTTTTTTTCTGTCCATCTGTGAGTAAATAGCTGCAAATCACAGAGCTGCCTGCAGCCGAGGAGCAGCCCAGCTGCCCGGGATTAGTCAACCTTGCACACCGTGAGCAGGGACAGGGAGCGAAGAGAACAATATTAACAGGTAGCCGCGCTGACAACGACCGCTCAGCACCTAATTTAGAGCCGCCGGATTGCATCTGTTGTATTTTTACCGAGCGGCCGCGCCGGTGGGCTGAGACGCGCGTCAGACCTCTCAGGTCCGGCGCGGCGAACATTAATCCTGGGAATGAAGGAGACCTCATTCTGCGGCCCGCTCCAAACGGTCCCCTTGCTCTCTGCCCCAAATTCCATTTTCCCGCACCTGACGTGCTGAGGGGGGTTCAGCTCAGGCGCTCGTATTGCACGTGCGAAGTATTTTTTCATCCATGCGTGCGCTCTGTACGATGGAGCGCTCAGTGCTATTTCTGGGTACGTTTTGAAGAAGGGGGAACACGCATTTAAATTTCTGTCATCATTGCACCAAGGCTCTTTGAGCTATGATGTCTATGATGACTGCTGTGAAATTCCAGAAAAGTTGGAATGGAGATGCAGAGAATTAAACCCCGGACTTCATACATGTTCAGCATGCGATCTGCCACTGAACTACAGCCCCTCAAGAATGTGGCGGCTTTAATAAGGCTTTGCCTTTACACTCTGACATTCAAGGACATTCGATTCTCAATAGGCTTGCGATCACACTCTCTTTTCGAGAGAAAATATTTCATGCCGCACATATTTCACTCAGCTGTCTTTTTCAATGCGCAATTCATTACTTTCAACATGTATCTAGTAAAGCTGATTGGATAAACCATTGTCCTTTCTTGTGAAAAGGGATGGGGGGGTTAGCGACATCTGCAGCTTTAAGTATACAAAATGGATTGCAGATGGCTGTGAAATTGTCTTTTAAATTTGCCGGTTTAAATTTTCTGTAATAGCACTGTTTCAGCATAATGGCACCGATTAAAAATATTTCACACCATTGTCAGAATATTATAGTAACACTTCCACAAAATTTGTGTGTCTAATTGCACCATTAAAACTATATGCGGCAGGAACATTACACCTGAGCATGCAGGCAAAATAAAGGTTATTTCTTTTCAACATATTCAGAGGGTTTTTTAAGATTTATTTTTAAGGAAATGTTACAGGGCATTCTTTCAGTGATGTGACAATGTTATTTTGCTAGCTGGGAAGTCTGAAGAAATTTGAAAGAAAGATAATAAGCGGAGGAGCGTCCGCTCTCTAATTTCCTCTGCCATTACTCCAAAATTCTCCAGTTTGAAACAAACCAAGCTGGGTTTTGAGTCTGCTACAAGGATCCAGCTATGTTCCAGTGGAGACACTGAATACTAAACACAAGAATATATGCATGTAAAATCATGCTCATTGCAGCTTTGTTCATATGAGAAATGCTGCTCTCTGCGTGTGAGAACACATTTCACAAATTCCCTGTATGACTGTTAAACACAGGATGCGTGTGCACTATGATTTATTTTCATGAATGCTCCAAGAATCTTTTTAAATTTTCGCCAGCACATTGAACTGTGTTGGAAGTGAATCTATACCACTAATCCATCATATGCTTTGAAGATGCTGGGGACTGAACCACAGACTTCATACATGCAAAACATTATCACTGAGCTACATCCCCATGAGCACTAATTACCATCAGTTAGTCTGCTGAGCAGGTCTGATAGCAGTACATACTGTAATTGTTTGAGGGGTTTTTTCCCCCAAATGTATACATTTCAACTTACTTCCATTAAATAAATACATTACTTTCAACTGGTATCTAGAACAGCCTCATTACATTACATTACATTCATTGGAATGTACACAACATATTTGACATTTCCAATGGAAAAGGGTTAGATTTGTGGACAAATGGAACCTTTGAATTGAATTATTAAACTGACATTTGTTCTCTGGAATGTGCAGGGCAATATACAATGCCAAATATAACCATTTCTAGTTATTTCCAACTGCTGTCTGGACTGCACTGTGACCAGAACTGAGCACTGGTTCCAGAGCATTTTGTTACATTCATAAACTCTTTTGTATGAATTGTAGATCAAGTGTCGGGGGTGACAAGTGTGTGCAGGTGATGGCAATTAGCTTGAACACTATGAAAGGGAGAGCACCAGGACAGCAGGGAGTGTGTCTGAGTGTGTGCTGTCCAGTAACGGAGCAGTCACTATCTGAGAAGCTTTCCCAGCAGTCACAGCTTAAAATACTTCCACGCTGATGATTTGTTCTGTCAGCAGGAGCTGGTTAGTCTCAGGTTAATGAGGTTAATGACCCTCCCACTGCACTGTTCAGTCCAGAGGGCTAAAGCCACAGATGAATGTGACCCACCGTGTTGAATTCGGGGTAGAATGAGGTGACTCTGTTCCTTGAAGCTTGGAACAGTTCAGGGACCTCCTCTTTCTCAGCCCTATGATCCCAGGAAAACGGAACAGACCCTGAAATCAGTAACAGCTTCAGCTCTACATCTTGTGCTTATTTAAAGTGCCCTACAAAAACGAAGGCATTCCGGTCTTTTTAAATCTACCGTTGACATTGGAGATCCTTGCTGGTTAATGCACCCAAATGTATGCACATACGACAGGCATGCACATACGCATATCGATGCATACAACATGCGTGCACAACCATGTACAGACACACACAACAGGTATGCACAAACTCGTACACCATGCAAAAGGCATGCGCACATATATACAGACTATAGAGAAGCTGGCCAACACTTCTTCCATAAATGAGCAGAAAAGAACAAACATATTTTTTAAAAAAGAATAATTTAATACAAAAGCAAACAAAGATGAAGAAACCAGTCTAAGCAAACCACAGAACCAAATGAGCCCAAATGAGTGTGGCTTGTTAGCCAATAGTCTCTTTCCCATGCAAATTATCAACATGTGCACACAATTAACATTTAGTTTCTAGGGAGAGGTGGTGAAGGCTCTTCTTCACACAGACAGATGCAACAAGCATGCACACACACATGCACAAATGCTATCATATTCTGAGGCCAGAATGCTAATAAGTATAGCAGCACATTTTTTTTTACTTTATATTACTCCCTTACTGTATATTGCTGCCTTAATATCCTTACCCTCTTTCTGTCATGTTTTCTGAAAGGCTTTTGCTACTCCCCATTGGTTTCATCATTAAATTGATTAAATATCACTGAGAAACCCATTTATATTCCCCTTTAGATGTCTTAATTCAATTTATTTATAGTCCCTTATAGTTTCTTATAGTTTCAAAGTAATTGATTCAATTAATGACATCATACTAAGTTCATCAATTTTTTGAGATGGCTTTGAAAAGTAACAGTCATCAATTAGACAAATACTAGTTGGTGAGCTTGTCATAAGTGCTCTAAAAAATCATGTGCGCTCAGCTCAAAGCAGTCTGAAAAGACTTTGAAGGTTGTCAGAACACCTCAGTGAGGACCAGCTGTCTAATCCATCAGCTAGTCAACTGTACTGTTGCAATGTCACTAGCTTGTGTACTGTTGCAAGCTGCTTCCTGTTTCCATCAGTACTGTATTTAACTTTGAGATCTTATGGGGGAGAACAATGTGTAGTTCACATTTAACAACGGGAGGTTGATCTTTCTAAACTGCATTTACTACTCACATAGTAATGATAACAGTGGGTGTGCTAAATATGCATTTTCATGCCTTCATGCGCCACAGCTGTAATATAAAAACAGACAATGTTGAGTTAGCAGTGAGTTTTGGTTGAATTTCAAATATTTACAAGTTTTAGCTAGCTTCAACAATGGACATGTATTCATCTAGCCACTTGTTAATTTGTTTTTTGTGTGTTCAGCCATTGCAGCCTTTAAATTAAGCTTTACAGATAGCATAGTCAGAATAGAGCCTCGGCCTTTTTCAAGGGCAGTGTTCTGTTTTTCAGTACCTTTACAAGCAATATACATTGTATTTAAACATTGTATATATATTTGTAAGACCTTTTGTTCTCCTTTCCATGCAGTTCTGTAGAGAGGATATTAATTGGGTCACACTATCTATCTATCTATCTATCTATCTATCTATCTATCTATCTATCTATCTATCTATCTATCTATCTGTCTGTCTAGAAACAGTGATACATCTGTTTCTCTCCCAGGCACATTCGTCTGGCCCTTTTGTGAGTCTGCCTGTGTCATCTCTGCCAGCTCTCTTGCTTCTCCATGCGTGACCCTCTCTACCCCACATGATCAGGGCTACAGTGCATCATTACAACTCGGCTAATAAATCTACTGCCACTGCCCTGTTCAGGACCTGCATCAGGACCACTCGTGGCACAGAGAGTTTCTCAGGGCTTTACATAACAAAACTGAAACCTGATTGGTTTGACAAATAAAACAACATGTCCACGGTATCTGCTGCTTGCATTGACCTGACAACAGTGTGCACATGTGGTTTATAATTTCCAAATTAAATGTCTGCGGCATCTCTTTTCTCTCTGCATGCAGTACTGATTACCATCTCCTCCACAAAACTAACAACATGAGCACAAGCTGAATGAAAGGCATTTTATTGATGGAGTGAGAGGGCTCGGAGAAAGAGCCATGTAAGATGTCAGAGTGGATAGAGAGAGATGAGAGTGTGATTAACTGAGACTAAAACAGCTTGACAATAGAGGGTAATGAGCAGAGAAACTGCAGATTGCAGATGGAGTGGGGAAGGGCTTCACCGCATTTCATAACATCAGATTTACCATCTCTGTCATTTAAAAGGGAGACGTCTCCTCCCTTTCTCTGCTGTGTGGCTTCTTTCATACGACTAATTTAGTGCTTCAGCTATACTCACTCAAATGAAATTTACTAATTATACTTACATACTAATTAAATACTCTTCTTCTGATGCGTTCACTGAAAACAGTGTTATCCATTTATTCTGTTGCCTCAATATCTGAGTCAATGGTGTTTCCCCATTCCAGACAAAAAAACATGCTGTTACTAAAGTAATCCTATTATTACTTCTTATTATATCACAGAAAAAGTCCCAACTCATCATCATCATTGCCACATCATCATCATCATCATCATCATCATCATCATCATCATCATCATATCATTATCATCATCACCATCATCATCATTATCACAATCATCATCATCATTCTCATCACCTTTAACAATGTCATCTTTATGAGCATCACAGTAACTATTATCATCGTCATTAGCAACGATATAGTCATTGTCATTATCATCATCATAATCTCTGAACGCAATCAGAAAGTGGTGTTGTGGAGGCAGAGGTGATGGCATACTGGATTACGGGTCAGAGTGAAGAATGTTTTTTTCTTCTGTGGTTAAAAGGATGGAGGCAGAGGTGTAACCCTGAAGATGTCCTAACATGGACGCCATACTGCAGGCCAGATGTCTGGTGCTGTGAAGCCAACCTGAATGCCATTCACTGTGATAGTGAGATCTCTACACTGAGGGGCACATACATAAAACCAGAGGATCTACCAACCAAAGTGGCTGGAAAACCTAGTGCTATATACTGTCTTACATCCCCAAGCATTAGTAACTGTGTTTTGATCAGGTTTAGTGCCACCATAAACTTTTATGCCTACAACCCCATATCTTTCT